GCTTAGCCGGGTGCCGTACTTACATGGCCCGAGATGATGCAGAACTGCCACAATCACCTCAACCACCAGATGATAAGTAGATGAAGTAACATTTCCGTCATGCCTACCTGTGATAGCAAAGTAAGATGCCAAGCGGGTTATGATACCGGTAAACATTTAACTGGTATTATAGCCAGGCATGATGATGTCCTCAGAGGAGCAGCCCTTATAGTCCAGTCAGCGCACCATACACCTTACGTGTGCGGGATTCCCTCCTGATGGGTGTCAAATTTCAAAGGAACCGTGCCAGGTGCGAGTGAGTGGAAAAAACCCCTTGCTGCTGCTGCTGCTGCTGGGTCCTGCCAGAGCGAGGGACGCTGTCAATGCACGCACACAGACGCACACATGCAATCCCGGCCATAATCATATCCGGGACAGGCGCAAAAGGTTCCAGGGACAACTCGTTGCCACGCCGAAACTCTGCTGGCGCGTGCACACGCCCCATACGAGGAGATGACACGGCAGTTCAGCCAGGAAGGACAAACCTACGCTGGCAAAGCCCACACGACCGACTCGTCCCATCATGGCTCGCAACAGCGACACGAGTCTCTAGTAGTATATTGCATATTGCCACATTGCCACGTCCCTCGGTGGCCTCCAACCGCCGCTAAGCAGGGTGTGTATGTCAGTTTCCAGCGCGCGCCCCATCCCATCAACGACGATACAGGCACATCACAGGCCAGTCAACCCCACACAACAGTACACTCCGTAGGACTGCACATACAGTCGACAGGTGGTGTTACCAAGCCGTCCATCAACTGACGCGCTCCAACAACGCATCTGCAGCCCGTTTGTTAGGTTGAGCAAGCTTGTCTCTCGTGAAGCACACCCTTCCAGGTGTCCCCACGAGAGGCGCGTGCACATCTTTCCTCCTACCCTGCATGTAAACCTTCTTCCTTTCCCCACCCCACAGAGACACATCGTAGGCGTATATAAACAGCGTTGAAGTGGCTTTTAAGCCACAACGATCCCCCTCCTATTGTAACAACCTCACAACTCAAATCATTACCATGACTACATAGCATACATAGACACCGCTAGGAAGGCAGGTCTAGGCCAGCCCAGGGGAAAAGAATCCTTGAGTACACATCTCCAGGGGGCCCAGGTTCAGGGTTCAGGGCAACACGCTGAAGAGAGCCACTCGCAGCCGCCCATAATCAGAACGTATAATACGAACATCCATATACACGGGCACGCAGGTACCTAAGGGACAGCAGAAACAGGAGAGTCGGGCACCGGGGACCCGCACGCTGCCACCGCACTGCGGTCGCAGAGCTATATAGGGCCCGCGGCCTGCTGCCGCCCAAAACCCATTCCCGACTCAACTCTAACCTACCTATCTACCCAGCTGCTCTACCCAGCTGCCTTGCAACGATAACCTATCTTGCAATTTTGTATTCTGCAGTGCTTGGCATGTCTACGGCATCAGATCACCACCAACGAAACCACCGCTTGAAAGCAGTCCGCCATGTTGCGCGTAACACCGCGCTTTCTGCTATCTTCACAACCTATGCTTACGACACATTTACAGCCCCATTCACAGCCCCAGACCTGTCAGTGCGCAGCAAATGAAGTGCTTGGGGCCAACCATCGCTGCCATAGGCAGCGCACAGGCGGGGGATGTCCAGGTTTTGGAAAAGAACCACCGGATCCACGCAGCGGAAAAAGGGGCGCCCAGAGCGGTCCCGCCCTGCCTCCTCCGAGGGGCCACGAGGACCGCATCAGCTGCCCCCGTGTGATGCGCTGTTTGTACGTTTGCATGTCCGTATTCAATGACCGCTGAGTTTCGCCCGTGGAGCTCGGCTCAGCTCAATTAAGGTCAGGTTAGCTGGGTCCACAGCTCAGCTCAAGGCACCCTGGGAGAGCAGCAGAATCTGGGCCAGCATCTGGGCGTCCACCGCGCCGCTACCGACAATGGTGCTGAGGGCTGCGGCTTGCTGTTGTTGCTGTTGTTGCTGCTGTTGTTGCTGTTGCTGTTGTTGCTGCTGTTGTTGTTGCTGTTGCTGCTGCTGTTGCAACAGCTGTTGCTGCACCTGTTGCTGAAGTTGCTGCTGCACTTGCTGCTGCAGCTGCTGCTGTTGCTGTTGCTGCTGCAGCTGCTGTTGCTGCACCTGCTGCAAGAGCTGTTGCTGCTGCTGTAGAGATAGTTGCTGTTGTTGTTGCGGCGGGGGCTGCGGTTGCTGCTGCTGTTGCTGAACCTGCTGTTGCTGGGACTTTTGCGACTCGGGGTCGGCGGCCTCGAAAGGATTGCAGTTCAGCAAATTGTAAGCTGCCCGCTGCATAAGCACCTGTACGTTATAGACGCATCCACGCAAGGGGGGAATTCATTACCAACCCTTGCCGATCAGACTGACAGCGCACTGTACATCACTCATGGCAAGCTGCGGCTTGCAAATAAAAAAAGAGAAATAGCATAAAGCAAGCAAACACTAGGCCACAAGCATAGGCGAGGTATGGTATTACAACAAGCCTCGCCCACCAGGCCGTGAAATCATTCATGCCAAGCTCAATAAGCTGTAACCAAATCATGTCCCGTGTGTAGTGCGGCAGTCTCTACCCTGGGTCCGCTGTGCTCCGTGGAAACCCCTGCCGCGGCCTTACACCTCCTACCCTTTCTACCCTTTCTCCCTGATACAAATTGCATATCTTCATCTCCCTCCTCCACTCACCGTGTACGCCAGTTCTTCCAGCTTACTGACCAGCGCCTGGGCGGCCGCAATGTTGCCTGTCGTCAGCACTACCCGTAGCGTACTGCTCAGCTGCATCAGGTTCTCAGGCAAGGTCAGCAGCACGGAGCCATATCCGTTCAGCTGCGACACGCCGGCAGCGGCGGCGGCTGCAGCGGCTGCAGCGCCACTTTGGGCTTGTGAGCTTGAGCCCGCCGGCGCCGATGGGATCCCTCCAACGGTGGCTGCTGTAGCGGCAGTGGCGCCGCCGCCGCTGCCCTCCGCAGCGGCGCCATCGCTGCCGGAGGAGACTCTCTGACCCGCAGGTGGGTAAGGTTGCAGCTGCAGCTGCAGTGGCGGCGGTGCGGCTAGCTCCATTTTGGTGCTGCCAAGAGGCAGTGGGACGCTGGAACCTGGCGCACCGGCACCGGCGGGTCGCGATCCGTTAGAGGGCGTCCTGCCGTTGACCTGCAAGGCGCCAGGGATCGGCAACGTGCCTGGCAAGCCCAAGAGTCCGCCACCGCCACCGCCGCCGCCGCCGCGGCCACCGCGCGCGGCCTTCCGCGACTGCGAGCCCCGGGCGCGGCCGCGACCCCTCCGGCCGCCCCCCATCTCAATATCCGACCCGTCGTCGTCATCCTCATCGTCGTCTTGACCCTCACCAGCGTCGTCGCCGCCATTTCCCTCAGCGTCGCGGTCGCCGCTCCTCGCGCCACCCTCCGTGTTACCCGCGCCTGCGCCGCTGCCGGGTCGTGGCGGGTCTCTCCCTCGCGGCATAGCCAGCTGCTTCAACGCCATGGCTGCAGAATCCTCCCCATCGTCCGAGCCGCCTTCTTCTGCAGCAAAACCCGCCGGAAACCCATCCGCCCAAGTGCAGCGTGAAGTAAATCCATCCATTCGAGGACGTGCACGGCTTTAACTCATTGCTCCGCGGCGTGCCAAGCAGATCGCACACGACAATGGTGGCAGTAATCCCATTGCCCGGCAGCAGGTGTCCTCTGGACTCCGAATACGCCAGGTCGGAATCGCGCGAAAAGGTCCCGGAAACTGATCACCCCTAGCAGCGACCACACATCCATGCTAACATGTTTGGGACTCGGCTCATGCATTTTGACGTCTGCGACGTTTCATCCTCCTAGCCAGGAACAAAAAAGGCACGTGCCTGCTCACCGGATGCGTCTCTGCCCTCGTCATCCCAGGCACGTTTAGTGCCGCGGGCGTCGTCCTGCGCGCGGCGACAGGGATGGGGAAGAAGGGATGGGTTGCGGCAACGCTGCGGCCAAACAAACGAGGCCGCGGCCGTCAAGACGCATCGTGGCTATTACAGGTACAACTGCAGCCCAGACAGTGCCGTTAGTTCCAGCCTCAAGCGTCGAGCCGCTGATGGTGCCATGTCAGCGCGGCACGAGAAGCACCTTTCACCACCAGGTCGCCCAAACACCTGCGCGCGTATCTATAAGAGTACATTCAGCCAGGATGTGGGCTAGACGTACCTTTTGTTCCAGGTCCGCTGCTGCTGCGGCAGCCGCCGCTGCCGCTGCCATGAAGGCGCGTTTCCGCGGACTCATCTCGCCCGCTGGTCCAGCGGCGAGCGCGAGTCGTTGGGCCGGCTGTATCCCTGGCCCTGCCTGTATGCCAGGCGGCAGTGCCGCTGCAACGGACGAAGCGGAGGGGCCCGCGTCAGCCGGCCGAACGGGCAAAAGCGACCAAAACTGCTCGGTCAAAGCGCGCTGGAGCCGCACGGGACATGGGAAATGACGCTACGCAGAAGCCGACTGGCATGACAAGCAGCGAGCAGGGGATGATTGCATCTTGCACATATGCACGACGCATGAATGTAGTGTAAAGCACTAGCTGCAACATGATCCATTCACGCGTGGATGAAACAGCACAGCCCGAGGTGCAATCCCAAGATCCATCTGCCATGTACTGACGCCCCGAAGCAATACGCGTAGCCGGGTCCCAGCCTTCCGCCGCCACTGGCGCCCCGTCTGGATACTCACCCCCGGCCGCTGCTGCTCCTGGCGTCGTACTTCCAGCGGCCCCCAGCGCTCCCGCCATCGCCATTGCCAGCGGACCCATGGAACCAATTGGCAACTGTGTTCCCGGAACTAAACCTGCCAGTGGCCCCGGCCCTGTGGCAGCCAGCAGCTGGGCAGCCGCGGGCCCGAACGCAGCAGCTCCGGCGGCTCCCAAGCCGGCTGGACCCGGTCCAGGCAACCATCGCGGCAGTTGCATGCCGCCGCCCACGCCTGCGCCGAGGGGCACGCGGCTGCCTGCGGGCAGGTTCTGTGCCATGAGGTTGGAGATATCCATGAGGGAGACGGAACCCGGTGCCGCCTCTAAGCGCAGCGTCTCTAGCATTGTGCCGTAGCGCTTCTTCAGCGTGCAGTTCCAGCGATTCTTGATGTGGTTGTCCGTACTGGGAAGGGGGATGGAAAAGGCAAGTCAAAACGATGTCAAAACGACGATAAGGCGCGGAAAGAAATGTCGCATCACGGGAACGGCGCGCGCACAGCATGAGAGGCGAAACATGCTGCAAACGGGTGCCAATGGGATGGCTAACTGCTGTCGAAAGCACTTACCGTCCGGGAAGGTGTTTGCTGATGCTCGCCCACTTGTTTCCGTACTGCAGGTGAGCCCATAAGATGACTGCGTCCTGTATCGCGCAGCAGCAGTCATCCCGAAGGATTTACGGCAGCGTGGATCTACAGATAGGGTTATTGGTATAGTGCACGCGGCCGTGGAAATTGCCGCATTTGCCGACAGGAATTACGGCCTGAGGTGGAGCATCATGCTTAAACACAAATCATTGGCACCGAGCATCTCTATCACTGCATGGAGAAGAGCTCGCAGCACTGGTAGTACAAATTTCAAGATACACGGGAAATGAACTGGGAGAAGTACCAGGCGGAAGAGTGCGGTCACAGAAACCCACCGGCTTCCGTGAACGCACCCGTGCTGTGTGCAGCATCCGGGCCCATGTAATATGCAGAAGTGAATATCATAGAGTATGAACTAACCTCTTCTGGTGTGAATGGACCACCTCGAACGTGCGGCGACAACTGGTTCAGCCATCTGCAAGGGGTTTCGGTCCGACGCGTTGGTGAAGGTCGTCAACCTTACGGTCAACCATGCTAATCGGGTGTGCGCTTTTATCGATTTATACTGTGTGCAGCTTTAGGAAGAAGACGCATGAAAAAGCCGGCACTTTAAGCGCCAGCGCGTAAGTCGCAGAAGTGACGGGCTCGGTTTGGAACCTCGATTCCTCATTTCAAAATCGCCCACTCAGTCAACTCGCATCCTCTGATAAGAGGTTCTTCCTGCAAGCCTTGGTGCGCTTTCACGCGTAATTGCTGACCAGGTGCCGGTCGTTGCAAAGGCGTTTGCCCAACGTCCTCAACACACAACCCCGTATTAACGTCAACGAAAGCCAAACTGCCCTGAATGCAATATCGATACTTATTTCTTCAAAAATGCGTCAGCAGCGGATTTCCTGCAGCAAAAAGACGGTAGCGATACGCCGGCACAAGGGGCCGGTGAAGCCAAAGTTTGCACGTACCGAAGCCGACACGATTTGCCCGATCTGCCTGGAATGCACTCCGCAATTTTGGTCCAGTTCCTTGCGCCATGCGTGACAACAAGGCCGCGCAGGACTTCGTCTTCTGCGGGCGTCAGAGACCTTTAAGAAGCTGTCTCGCTGCTTGAGCCTTGTGAACTTTCAGCGCCTACCTTCTGGTGTCCACGGTCCTTTCGAGTTGTCCTCTCCTCCCAGGTCGCCCACATCCTGGCCCGAATAGAACGCCATGGCTAAGGGGTCCAGTTATGCAGCTTCTAGGTTGTGTCAATTAGGTCTTTACTCTGTTGGCAGCACGTTGGGAAGTTCTGTTTGTTTTGTTTGGAGTTGTTGGGGAGTTGATGTTCTTCAACGACCGTTCAGGTACGAGAATTTTTGGACGGGCGAGGCGGCACCTTCCATTTTTTGGGAGTTGACGTAGAGATGTCTTCCATGTGTTCACTGGCGAAAAGCGCATGCACGCTACCCAACAAAGAGGCACTCGTCGGTTCTCGTTTGAACAGCAGCAAGGCAAAGGATTGCGTACTCGTCAATCAACCGTGTTGACTCATGTCGACATAGTGGTTTTGCTTTTTTATTGCGGGCTATGCGAAGCTTGAGCCGGGTTAGCTAAGGCGTAGGGCCTTACGGCCGTTTTAAGTGGTACGACTTGAGGCCGGCGATCCGTGTCCTCAGGATCGTCTTTTGCATAAATAGCGCGTGTTGCAGGTTTTCTGTATCTTGTTTTTGTTGTTCAGCACGCGCTGAACAACGAGGCAGGTCCCGCGCCTTCGGCGCGCTTTCTGTTTTTTCCGCTGTGCTTTCAGCTCTTCAGCAAGACCCATCGGGTAGAGTGCCCTGATTGAAGGAGCACCATTATCGCTCCGTCGTCATCGTCTTGAAGATCATGGCAACCGTAGCAGTATCCGTCCAAGCCGTTTTAGCGGTTTTTGTCGTTTTCTGCGGCGTTGCTGGCGCCATGATGCCGGGCCAATATGGTTCCCAGCCCCCTTCCCCATATATGCAAGGTCTGCTGGGTGGCGGCGCTACGCCGCTAGGAGGCGGAATGGCGCCCAGCGCGGTACCGAGAGCGGCAACTATGTCTGGTGCGGCGGTTGCTGGGCCGGACATCGCTGCAATGTTACTCCAGATGCAACAAGACCTGGCCGGGGTCCGCGCGCGCCTAAATAGTCAAGGTGCGACCTCGGGTCCGGAATACGATTTGCGCGCGCTGACGGAGGATTTTGCGTCGCCTCAAGTGCAGCGCTCTCCAGCCGGGTCGCGGTTCCGTTCCCGACA